CAACTTCTAAATCCTGACAAGTACTACACGGTAAATTCAGGCATAGTAAAGATACGGTGTTCCTCGCAGCTGTATTTTAATACACAAACATACACATTTCATGACTATTAATGCAGTACTATTTTAAAGAAAGATTACTGATTCGTAGCAAAATATATTAGAAGTGATACAAAAAAAGAGATTCTGCCTTTTTTTATTTTACCTTTCTGTAGCGACTAGCCCCGCACAAGGCTCATCCCAGCGGGTCAGTGTTGAAAACAGGCCATATAAATCTAAAATGCATGAACGTCACCCAAGTTTTTGGATGGCAAATCTTTCACTCCACTTGAAATCCGCTTGGGTCCTAAAAGAACTTGGGTCAAACAGAAAAACAACTTACAGAATTCACCATGCAATGACTGGCGCTCAGCTACGCAAAGACTAAAGGAAAACACTTTTCGGAGCTCACGCGTGACGCTGCAGAAGTAAACTAGGAACAGCAAGAGCTCATCTCGAAACAGCTTTTCCCCTCGCTGGCCCAACGGCGGCAGCTGCCTGCACATTAAACCGAACGCAAGCTCTGCTACATCTCAGGGAGGCACCCATGCATCGCCGCTCACTTTCAGTCTCTGCAATGCCAGGCACCGGCATAACCGACCTAGCGTGGGACCTTCAGTGTCACCCACTTTACAAAGTGACACTCTGCTTCCCAGGGTTCGCTAAACTACTGAACACACAAAAATTTACAGATGCGTCAACTTTTCTTTCTTTTTTTTTTTTTTTATGTTCTAAAAAAAAAAAAAAATCCAAGACAGCAATTCTCTCACAAGCTCTCTCAGGAAAACAAAAGGAAAAGATCCAAATACCAGCTCATGCAAACTTTTTGAAAGAAGCTGGTTTCGTTCAGATTAGTACATGTAACCGATTTCAACATTTCGTGATCGCTTCATATAGCAAATGCCAGCCTGACATTGAAGTGTTGAGTCACCGCGCCGTATTTCAGAATTTACCTTAGGGTCAAGTTAATGTTTGAAAAGAAACAAATGCAGCTGATAGCGCTGGGTAAACAGTGACCGTTTCTGTTTGGGATCACGCCTGCTCCTGTTTGCCCTGTATATGGCTAAAAAAAAAAAACCAAATCCCCACAAAAACCCCACAACTCCTTCCTACTGTGGGATCATCCCAGCTGCAAAGTACTATGAAAATTATTAATTGCATAAACTGACCTCAGCACCTCATGGTTTCATAGCAATTGGTCATTTAGAGCTTGGGATCCTGAGAGAGACTTTTTAGGGAAGCAAAGCATTGATCCGAGAACTAAAAAAAACAATTTAAAAATAAGTGTACAAACACATCAGCTTTGACAGTTTCCCGTACTAAGCATCTGGCTTGGTATGATTTGGAACAGGTCATCTAACCCAAAGAGAAAAAAACAACAACAACAACAAAATAAAAGGCCACAATCTGAAATCCCTCTGAACGTGCCCATCTCTCTCTGAGGGAGAAGGAAAACCCAGATACCTTGCCTTAAACAAAACACGGTCAATTTTTATAGATAGAACCTTAATTCTTCCCTTGTGAAGAACAGCATGATAAACTTTTCTTCTGTTGTGCTGAGCTCTTAATCGAGATACATAAGAAGAAACAGCATGCCCGATTCTATTATTGATTTATCCAAGTGATTTTGAAAAACGCGAAGTGTGTTCAAGGAAGCTACAACATTCACAATACAGCCGAGAAATCACTGTGTTAAGGCAATGCCAGCTTTTCACAAGAACATGCGACCGTTGCTCCTATAATTCAATCTATTAATTCTATACTCTCAGACCATGCATAATAAAAATGCATTTATTAACTCCACAGGAGTTAATTGCCAATTTCATCAGAATTTAGGCACAGATGCAAGATGGAAACAGTCAGTCATAAAAGCACTACATGTTAACTGAGGTTTTTTCACACATTTGACAGTTCTGAAAGTTACTAAGATACATGGCAGCAGATTCTTCCTCTCTCTCCCCAAAACCCAGGCAACTATAGTGGTATATTTTTTCCTCAAACATAATACCAAAAAATGGTGCATATGGGGAAACAAAAGGGAAAGCGTCGTTAAAGTTCTTTAGCTTTCCTCACTCTCACGGGGTAAGCGAAAGACCAAAAAATCCCATGAGCAACACTAAATACTGTTATTCCAATTAAGCAAATTCATATAGGTTCCCCCTTTTTGTACTTTTTGGGAACCTATTCAAACTTACGACTCACAAAGGCAAGAAAAAACATTGCATGTGGACCTGTAAGTCTATAAACCCCAGTTTAATGATAAAGCCCGTGCAGAGCCCATTCCACCTATGTTTCACATCCCGGTCCCTTGTCTTCCACTAAGTGCAAGGTCAGAACAGTTATTTTCTCTGTTTGTGCTTGCAGACGACTGACTTATTTATAGTAAATTTCCTGTTTTTCCAGCCTTGTAAATGTCTTACAAAATAGACAAGGCAATAAAATGTATACATTTCCAGGCTAATATTGCCCTAGCACCTCAGCACCAGTTGATTAGGCACTGAGAACTGGGAAGAGGAGGAGAATCATAGTTAAAAATATGTTTATAATCTTATCTTCACACTCCTTCGCTGTCTGCTCTAGTGCCACACACCTCCGCTTGAATGACAGTTGCCATCCCCATAATGAGATTTTTAATCAACATAGAAGTAATGCATTTTAATTAAAACAGTCTCCTTTTCTACGCTTACGATCCTGATTCACGAGGGAGTTCCCCGCTTTGCACAGAACAGCGTGCAGATGCCAGGCTATCATTGACAGGCACGGGGAACCGCTTTCCAGGCCACAAAAATATTTAATGATTTTTTTTAAAAAAATATATATTTCTAGTCGACACTCCTGTCTAATAAAGCATTAAAAAAAGGGGAGTGGGAGAAGGGAAGCTACAATCCCAGTAACCAGGGGCTTGGTTCTCACCTCTGGATGAGGATGGTCCAAGGTTCAAGCGCCTGCCCTGACTCCAGGCAGGGGTTTGAACCTTTTTCGCCCAAGTTCCAGGTAAACCCAACCAGTATGCTAAAACTCGGCTCTCTGCCCCTTCTTTTGACCATACCCTGGAGCTGAGACACATTTACCACTAACTTCTGTCATTGCTGGTATATTCCCATGACATGTTTCCATTTAGATTAACTAGTGTTGCCAAAATAACAAAAAGTTTAATCACAAACTGCTTGGTTGGGAAGGTGTTGGTTTTTTTGTTTGTTTTTTTGGGGTTTTTGTTTTTTTTTTTTTTTTTTTTTTTTTTTTTTTTTTTTTTTTTTTTTTTTTTTTTTTACACACCTTCTTTCATGCACCAACACCATCACATTGCAACATCAGAAGCTGTATTTTAACACTTCTGGTAAAACAATCAGTATGCAAAAAGCAACCTGCCTCATTTCCTCATACTTTTCTTCATGCTTTTCTCCCCCTCCCGCCTGGGCAGGGAAAGCAGCAGGCTCAGTTTCCACTTCCCAGTGAAGCTGAGAAAACGCATCCGGGAAAATACACATTTGTTTAAAGAAAACTGTTTTTGTTGGGAGTTCGACACTGTTCGCTGCAATATTTCTCTTGGAAATGCCTAACAAGTAGCCGTCCTTTGGTACATCAGCTCGGGGGCAGTTTTGAGCTGACGCTGCCCCTGTGGAAGGGGAGCAGGTGGCGGAGGGGGACTGCACAGCTCAGCTCAGCTCCTCTCGACACCCATCGCTGCCATCCACTCCGCCACCGGAGGTTTGCAGGATGGCTGTGAAACAAGTGCCTGCAGCCCTCCGGCTCAGCGTGTCAGTGAGGCTGGGGACAAGTCTTCAGGTGACAGTCCTGCCAGCCGGCCACAAATCTTGTCCGCAGCGACCAGCTGGGCTGAACCAAGAACAAAATAAAAACCCTCTCGCACCACCAGCCACAGCAAAACCCCCAACTTTGGGACGCGTACGCGCCTGGATGACAAACAAACTTTCCCCTAAGGAATCTCTTGGGCGACTCAAAGAAAACTTCCCTTCCTTCCTCCATCCCGCACACCTGCGGGTGTCCGGCTGCAGCCCTGCTCATCCCGCCCATCCAACCAACCTCCGAGCAGCTGTGGCAACGCTAACAGTTTCCTAGCACTAAATTCAAGTCCTGCCCTGGAAACGACGAGCCCATTAGCCAGGCCTCTCAGGCTAACCTGTTGAGCCACTGTTGCGTGTACACGGATGTGAAGTGGCTTTTTTTTAATCTCGCATGGGAGGACTCTTCCTATTCCTCTTCCCCAGCCAAACGAGAGAGCTACCTGTGCATGCCTTCACCTGTGCGCTGCAGGGCTGGGAGCATGGATGTGCCCTCACCTAGGGCAAAGCAGGGGGGAAAAAAAAGCACCCCCGAGCTGACTTTGAGCCAGAGAGGGGAACTGCCCTCGCAGGAGGGTCACAGCTTGTCCCTCCCCAAGGCAGACGGCCAGCAATGACATGCTGCACTTTTTGAAGAAGACTCCAGTCATCGCCCAGCAGTGTGGCTGCTCGAAAGGATGCTCAGCGGCTGGAGGAGGGTATCTCCCTCACATTCCCCCAGCTGCGGCTTTGCCCTGGCCGCTCCAGGGGTCAGCCCCGGACACGGGGCTCCCCCCGACACCCGCGGATGCCCCCGCCGAGAGCGCTGGAGGCTCCGTGGTGCCTTAGGGAAAGCCTCCCGCAACCGCTCGCCGTGCTTAACGCAGGCCAGAAAACTGCAGGGAGACTCCGGACCGAGTCAGGACGCGAAGGTGCCTGTGCCTAAGCGCACACGGCAAAGGTGCGCACACGAGTGTGCGCAAACGTACGCGCAGACACGCGCAGCGACGAACTCCTTTCGGGGTCCTGCGCTGCCCCGAAGGGCTAACGCTCGCCTCCCCCTTCCGTCCCGCGCTCGCCCTCGGCCACCCGGCACCACCCTTCACCTCCCCCGTGGGCCCGTGGGCAGCGCGGAGCGGGTCCCCCCCGCCCCGTCCCGTCCCTCCGCGGCCGCGCTCGCACCTTGTCGGACGGCTTTCACCGCGATGGGGTCCTTGCAGCTCCGGATCACCTCCAGCACATCGTAGCGCGGCAGCCCCGAGACGCGGACCCCCTGCACCTCCAGCAGCAGCTCCCCCTCGCTCAGCGCCGCCTCGCCGTCCCCCGACACCGCGCCCGCGTAGGGGAACTCGCCGTACTCCGCGCCGCCGAGCAGGGCGAAGCCCAGCTGCCCGCCGGGCCCGCGGGTGAGCGAGCACTGCCGCACCCGGCTGGCCCAGTGTTTCTTCTTCGGGACGACCCGCGACATGGTGCTGCGCGGCCCTCCGCGCCCGCGGAAGCGCGGTAAGCAGGTGCGCAAGGGGCGCCGACCCGCTG